TGCTTTTAAATTGCTTTCATAAACACTGTAATTCGGTCTTTTTGTCGCCCAGATCGCTGCAGTTCGTTTAGACGCGGCGGTTCATGGATGGGAGATTGGAGGACATAAATATATTTTTTGCATACGAGAATCACCCTTCAGGTTACATTAACCTTGAGAGCCTCTTCCGCAGGCTACATAAGTTATAAATAAGGGCTCCAATCCAAAAAAATATATAACTTTGTTGACTAAAACCTGACTGACTGCTGAAATAAAAGACTACGAAGATGAATATTGAAGACTCTAATATGCTGCTTACAGGCAAACCCTAGCATAATGGTAGTGGTGACATCGGCATGTGTATTTGGAACAAAAATCGCTCAGCTGGACTCGGAATAATGCCATTTTGAAGTCTGACCTTACGGCAGAACTCCCAGAGACACAGCAGACGTTGGCGTTAGATAGGAGATTTAAGTCATCCAAATCGTTCACTTTAGGATTCAACGGGTTTAAAAGGGGCAGGGTCATCTGTTAACAGAAATCACAAACCTCCTGAACTGAACTCAATACGTGGACTGATTTTCAAAGTATACCCAGCAGATTTCTTTAGCCCTCTCTGATTTGCAAATAGGTCACCTACCTCGGATGATTGAAACCGCTTGCGCTATTCATCTATCGAAGGAGGAGCATTCATTTGGTCGCTAATGGTTTCAGACGAATTCGCCTGGTTTAGGTATTTCGCACTGCACTGATATTTGTAGGAGGCTTGAATACAGTTTTTTTTGACAAGACCAACACGATTTAAAAATTAATTTAATGGCTACATGCTCACATAATCAACGCTGGTACATTACTGACAGTTGGTCATTCGGAATGTGCTCAACCAACCGCAAAAGTGCTAAACAAGGTCAAAAACTGCTGCCGAAATGCCTTGAAATACGAAACTCTTCGACTGTTTGTTACAAACCACTCCATCGAGGCAGAAAAATTGCGTATAAACCAACCTCTTCCCATTTTCCGGCTTCCAGATGGAGGTCAAGTTGACTCTCAACGTCACCAATGCGAGCGTAGCAGTCTGCAGCAAAGGCGTATTCTCCGAGCCGCGCCAAGTGCTTTGCGCAGCGATCCAAGTTGATGCGATCCGCCTTATCCAACTGACGGCTAATATCGAGGAGGCTGAAAAAAGAAAGTTTTTTTTTTCCAATTGCTTTTTCGTTTTATGAGGGTGCCCAAATACGGCAGAAGCAATAGCAATTTGCACATTTATGGGGGCATTTGTGTGATGATTGATTGGCACTCAACTCCATTACTAGGATGTCTATACTTTCTGGCAAACATATGTTTTCAGCAACTCATCATCACGCCAAACATTTGCAGGAGAAAATGAAAGCGAATCCAGTACTGTGTGGTCAGAAGACGCTGACACAAGCCCTTACACTTCCGTGGCTTATACCGACGCCAGGTGGCGAT